GGAAAACCACTTAAAAACAATTTTCACATGAAGCGGTTTTTTATTTTATGAGAAAAATATATGTACTCCTAAATGTAGGCAACGCCAGAGCACTCAATAATTAATATCTGTTTTCGTCTAGACAGCCAATACTTATGTGAATAGTTATACTTCTCAAATGGATTATGAACTATTACCTAGATAGTCTATGCTTGGAATATTACGTTCTATTTTTTACATCTAAACTACATTTCTACATACTTGTAAAAAAGTTTTCGTAGCCGCTTTAATTTCTAATGAATGCTTACTCATCGCAAACAAAAATATTTAATTAACAAAGTAGTAAACAGGAACTTGAATGAATAAATAAAAATCGGATTTGCATTAATTAACTATAGCATTCATTAATAAACGGTTTTTGTAATGGAAATAACAAAATTTAAAAACCTAAAATCCCACGGCGCTACTTTCATTCATTTAATTCATTTTCAATTACAAACTCATGCAGTTGCACACATGCAAGTACGTTTCATACATAAATGTTAATAAGACAGGTAATTTTCTAATTGGCAATCATACATAAGCACATTGCCCTTAATAACGCAGCGGGGCTGCGAGCAAATTCCACTTGATTGTGGCCAAGAAAATGAGACTTCTAGTAAGTAGTAGTATTTTTTTACATTTTCATTTGTTTTTTTTTTTTAATAAATACTTTTCGTTGTTGTTATTTTACTGCTTGCTTACCCACAAGCAATTAATATAATTATTTTTTTTTTTATTAATTAGAATAATTAGCTACATTAATCGTAATTAATAGAATGATTAACTCTTTCGTCAATCAAAATGCATTTTATTTGCTGCCAAGCGCACAAACCGATAAACTGTACACACGCGCATTACTTTATATCTAACGCGTGTGTGTGTGTGTGTGCAAAATTGCATATGTGATCAGTAAATTAGTTGCCTGATATGCTGCGAAAAACAATGCAGTGCTAGTAATTAAAATTAAATGGAAATTCTAATTATTTTGTTGTTGTTTTTTCCCCTTTCTTGTTTTAGTTCATTTAATTTATTATTTCTTAATTACGTCCAACAATAATTGGCGATAATGCAAGTTTACAGCACAACAACAGCAACAACAATAGCAAAAGTGCTACTTAGTGAAAAGTCAATAGACTCTGCCAAAGCTGACACCGGTTGTCCTTCAACTTTGGAAGCTAAACAAATAGGCAGCACATATATACATACATACATATGTAGATGTGTATATGTATATAAATGCACTCATTGGAGTCTCAAAAAATAAACAAATGATCGCGCTGTGTAAGTAAATTAAACACTATTTTAGTTGTTGTTGTTGTTTCAGTTGTCACTATAGCTCAGTTTGCATGCGAATTGCATTTTTTATTGCACAAAATTTATTGCAAGTGTAAATAGCGCTAAGCATAGATACTTTTGAGTTAACAGCAGATTTGGCATGAATTAGAATTAAATTGTCTGTTCATTGACTCAAGGCAATAAACCAACAAAAATTAGCAGCAAACTACAACGTTTCATAATAGTAATTATAAATAAATTGTTTACTCATTATCATATTTTCGCACGAGTCGAAAGGTTTAGGCAAGGGCCTAAAAGTGTTAGCCCTTTAGTGCACTTTAGATATAAAAATAAATAGAATGATGGGATGGGATAATTTTTTTTTTAATTTGGATAGAGAAGTCTTTCTTTATTTAAGTTTTAAAAAATTTAAGCTTGTATGTCTTGACTTTTTGTAAAATCTAACTATCTTGCAATGTACTTTGTGTTCCTAAATGCCATTTATTTTTTAGATACGTACAGTATCGGTCATATCTATAGCACCCCCATTTCATAGTGATATTGTTTGCCACTTATGTTCAGTTATTTATTTTTAAGAATTTTCAATTAAAATACAGTTCATTCTCTAAGAAAACCCAAAAACTAAGCTTAAAATTTTGTAAAAGACTACGAAAAATTCCAAAAAATGTTCACCCAAATTTCAAGCTTTTTTCTCAGAAGTGTTAGAAATAGTTTTATAGCTGATTCAATTTAAGTCCGATAATGTGCAAGTTTCAAGTGGCTGAAAATTACCGTTGATTTTTTAGAATTTTTTTGTCGCATTTGCTTCCATATAACAAATTAACACAATTTATTTTTATATGAAAGAAACTCGCAACAGCTTTTGCGAAAAAAAAATTCTAGAAATGTAGGTGAACCAACGATATTACATATATAAACCAGAACTGTTAAATTTCCATTACGATTAGTAATCGACATTTTTTTGCATTTTTTAATTTTAATGATTATTTTAATTTTCTTACATAACATTACATTAACTATTAATTATAATTATGAAAAAATAATCATGATTAATTGCCATTAAAAAAAAATAATCAAATAATCAAAATTAATCAAATTGCTTTTTTAATTATTTTTAATTGTTTGATTATTTTTAATTATTTGATTATTTTTAATTATTTGATTGTTTTTAATCATTTGATTGTTTTTAACCATTTCATTGTTTTTAATTATTAGATTATCTTCAGTTATTTGACTATTTATAATTATATGATTATTTTTAATTCTCTTTCCAAATAGATGAAGCTGAAAACAGTATGAGGTGAACTTTTTAAAAAGTTTTAGACAGTTATTTTTGGTGTTCTTGCATCAAGGAATCCTTTGCAATGGTAGCAGGAACCGAAATCGGCATTTTATATATATTTTTTAAGTTCATTGCATGCTATTTTTAGGTCAGAAGAAAGACAAAAAAAATAAAAAAGTTCACTTTATATGGTCTTTTTGAAGGTCACATTGAATAAAAAATTACGTTGACCTTCAAAATTAAATTTTTAGATTTTTTTGTCTTCCTTCCACCTAACTTGAAGGTGATTTGGAAGGTGAAGGCTACTTTTTTTTATCCAAAGAAATTTGTTTTCGTCGATTTTCTATCTCAAGTGCTTTAAAATGCTGTTAAATTTATTTCGCTAGATGTTTTTGTTTTCGATTAATTACATTTTGTCAATATCTACACTGTGCGGTGTTTAACAATAACTTTTAATTTACTAATTTTTTATATATCGTTCACACTACAGCATTAACCACAGAAATTATATTCCTGAACATTGTACAATATATTATTTATTATATATTAACAAGTTGAAATAAAATTAAAAAAGTAATAATCAAATAATTATATTAATCGTAGAATTAAAAAAAATTAAAACCAATTCAAAATAATCAAATAATTATATTAATCAAGCAATTAAAACAAATCAAAAATTATTGAATATAATCAAATAATTATATTAATCACGTAATTAAAAAATTTTAAAAATAATTAAAAATAATCAAAAATAACAAAATAATTATGTAATTAAAATTAATTAATTAATTAATTTTTTTTTTTTTTTTAATAATCGATTATTAATCAATAAAAAAATGCAAATAATCGTATTTAATTATTAAATGGTTACCAAAAAAAACAAGCTTTAATTAATAATCAAATTGATTATTAATCATTATTTAACAGGTCTGATATAAACAAATTTAAGCCTGCGTAAGTTGTCTTATTTTATATTTTTTGAATAGTGCCAAAACACCTACGAAAGGAAAATTCTAAAAAAAAAATGATTCTTTTGTTTAATATATTTTTCAGGAACGCGAGCCGGTTTTGAACCGAACCGGTTTTGAACAGGTTCCATTAATTAACTAAACCATTTGCAGCACCGAAATTTTCCACAAATGCTTGATCAGAACCGAAAACCGACACACTTTTTATAAGGGTCTAATGTTCGTCTCGACCAATTTTTAATAGGCAAGTTTTCCTTGCTGACCTATTTTTTCTTTTGTTAGATATGGTATGTTGTTATATTGGAATTATTTTATTCTACTGAAATTCAGTAAAAGCTATTGTAAAAAAAAAGAGCCGTTGCCCCCTAGAGAAATAGAAAAATTATCAAAATTTTTTTCACATAGGCTTTTGAGAAGTTTCACATTTTACATGAGTGGACTTACAGCATGTTTCCACATACTTTTAAATGAGTAATTCGGGTAGTCTTCACAGTTTCAGCCAAAATTTCGACACACTTCTCAATTTAGTCATGGAAATGTTTTTTAACCAAGAAAAATTTATGACTGATAAACAAAAAAAAAAAGAATAAACAGGTCTAGAAAGGGTTCTGAACTTAAGAGGATCAGAAGAGGAAAAATCCGAAGCTGCAGCGTGATGGAAATTAATACTGAAATTTATATCAATAGGGTAAGAGGTTGCAAATGAATTGAAAATCTAAGTTATAAAATTTGGGGATGGTGGAAACGCAATGGCATTGTTTTTTGCCGAAAAATATATTTTTGGATTTCCGTCGGCAAAAATTTGTTGTACTCGAATGTATGTAATGTTATGAAAAAAAAATTATTTGAATGTAACTTGATTAAGGAAAACAGAATCACTGAAAAATCAACAGATTTCAATTTAAAAAAAATGTATATGTATGTATATATTTTTGGAAAATATTTTTCTGGATTTTATTTTATTTATTTTTTTACAAAATATTATTTTCGGTCATTTAGTCGATCGCAGTTTCGGCAACATTCTAAAATATTTTAAATTTTTCCTAACCACCTGACAAGGCTGATGAAACAACCTTAATTTAAATTGGTAGCAGTCATAGCTAATATTTCCACACCGCCTCATCAGACTTTCCTTGAGTTTGGACCCAGCCTCCCGGCGCACAGAGCCAGAACACTTTCTGCTGAGCTAAGGTTGCTTTTTCAAATTTCAGTTTTTCAATCCAACTAGGCACAATCAAGGTAATTATTTTGTTGCTATTTTAACTTGATCATGTGTTGTCGTTTTTATTGTTTATTATACTATGTTTCTACATGCATTTCTCGTTTTCAGGCTGGTTAGTCATTTATTATTTTAAATTTTTTTTTAAATTGTGACCTAATAAAGCTTTTAGTAATTAAATTTTTACAAAATAAATGTGCAATAAAAAACTTACCTCAGTTTGTTGCAATCAAATTAACAATTTTGTCGTCAGCGCTGAATTTATTAACTTTGTGATACAAAAATTTTTGTTAGCTGATTCGATTTTTGAAGACAGTACTTTCTTACGAAATGAATGTAGTTAAAAATTTAATAAGTTAATGTTTTCAATTATTTTTGTAACATATTCACAACATTATACAAAGTTACAAGTGGTGCCGGATCTAGTTTTTTTTTTGTTTATTTTTAAATGCGTATGTATTTAATTTTTCTTTGTCTGCTATCCGCTGAAGAGTTTTGTTAAATTCGTTACATTTTGTTTTTATTTTTTTTTAATATTCGTAGCATTTGTAGTCGCATTAAAAGTTTTTTGCGTTAATTTTTTCTGACACTTTTAGTTTGTTTTTTCCTTACACTTCTTCACTCCGCATATTTTAGCAAATTTTGTATCCTAACTAATTCACCATGCCAAATGCATCGCCATTTGTTTGTCTCATTAAAATGCGGTCACTTTCACAGCTCCAAAAATTGCGTTGGTGCAATGAATGCTGGTTTTTCGTTTTTGCTTTCACGTTTCGCCTTTGATTTTAATTTGTTTTTATCTTTACCTGCTTTGTGTGTGTTTGTTTCTTGTATATTTGCACGCGCACAAATTATTTATTTATTAAATTTTTCGTCTCAAAATTTTTGCTGATTTTATTTTTGGCGAAACGCATTGCCGCGCACTGCCTGACTCTACCTGTGCGTCTCGGCGGTGGCAAGTGTGGTAGCAGCAGTAACACGGCTATCGCACTGCTGCAATTTATCAATCACTTTCAACTGCCACATGCAATTAATCACAGCGATTGCAATGATCGCCGTTACGGAGAAATAGTTTTGTTGTTGTTTATTTTTTTCGTTGGTTGGTTGTTGAGCGGTTGTTAATTCAAATTGGTAGCAAAAGTTGGCGATTAGCTGGCTGGCGGATACTGATTATTGTTGTTGTTGCAGCGGATTTATTAATATGAAATGCACGATTTCTGCAGTGTGTACTCGAATTAAATGTAACGGTGTCAGCTTTGCACAAAAAGGTAAAAAATAATTTTCCATTGGCAACACTAAAAGTAATGCAACGATCGCACCACACTGCACGGCTTCTGCTAGCAAATTGTTACACCCACACATACGCACGCACTAAGTCACAGAATTACTGCTGCAGTTCACCATTTCTCAACACACCGAAATTCAACTTTTAATTAATCAAAAATTTTAATTACACTACTTATGCAATTATCTAGTTAATTTAGAGTTCGCTTCGCTGCGATGGTAATCGGTTCAATTGCGAGTTCCAAATGTACACTCAGCTCAATTGTAGATTCAAAAGTCATCCGTGCGAGCCGTACGAACAGGCAGAGCGCCGTCAAAAGACTGAGCAGCGCTGCCAACTCGCCAGGCCGCCTATGCTTGCCCGCTGACTGCTGCATATCAGCCGGCCTGCGCTGCTGCGCGTCGCTGCCGAGGACCCCCCAAAACAAAATGCCAGCAACAGCAGCGCCAACACTAACAACATTTAAATCAGCGCGCACACCAACAACCACCACCCAAACTGGACAACAACAACAACAACTAAAAGCAACCACATTAATATGACAGTAGTAAAAAAACGAGCAACAAACGAAAACGAACCGAACAAACGATGCGATGAACGAACGTAGCCAACATAGCGAAAACAATACGAACAAACGAAGCTTGAACGCCAAAGTTGTTGCAGCTGCGCTGCCTGCCGCGCCAGCAACGCCAACAGCAACAGCAATACGAAAACGACCGAATGCAAATGCTCAGCGTACGAACGAGCGCTAAATGCGTTTGTATGCAGGAGCAACCGCAAGAGGAATGTCAAAACGAAAACTGAGCGCAGTGAAGTGAGGAAAAACAAAATACAACGCAGCCAAATGTATTGCGCGCGCCTGCAAGAAGACGACGAAGAAGAAGGTGGTAGAAGAGCGGCTAGCTACGACTAACCAACCACCCACCCACTCTTGCCAACGTCATTGCACACAACGGCAGCTAACCGCAGTGGCTGCGCTGAGAGCCAAAGCGTAGAGAGTGCGCTCGGAGCAACAAAAAAAGGGTAAAAAAGAATGACGTCATTAATTAAAGGTAGTCAAATGCAGAGAGGAAAAAACATTCGTATGCGAATAGCGGCAGAGGCCTTAAGAGGTATGTATGTGTCTTTGTGTGTGTGTGTGTAAGCTGCTCATTATGAGCGCATGCCATTGTTGTTGATACAGCGCCAACTTTTTTGTATGTATGTAGCAAGTAGCACCCAACGGCGGGGAAATAGTTGGCGCGCGAGCTAAGCTTGACGAAACTTCGCAACACATTGGGGGCGAGAAAGAGAGAGAAGAGGAGGATGAAGATTGATTGGAGCACTGAGAAATATTTGAGACTACAGAGAGCTCCCCAAGTTGCAAATGTTACACGCGCTTGTGCTTGTGTTTTTGTGGCGTTGTTGATAGTGGCGCTTGCGGAGTCTTATTGCTTTGAACGCAGCGCTCTCGCTCAATTTATTTTGCTCTCTCTAGCATATTAAACGTTTTAATTGCAAGGGGGTGCTGCGGCATCTGTTTGGCGCGCATTGCAATAGAATTGCCTAAATGGAAAATAATTTTAATTAGTTGAAAATTGTAATTTTTGTATTTTTCTTGAAAACTTTAGTTTATTATCTTTACCATCCAGACGCTCAAACATTCAAATTCACATTTTTTCTGAGCGCATACGCTGACTGGCACACGCTTGACTTTTGGTACATTTTTTTTATATTTTTAATTATTTCGCATCGATTTTCAACCACTATTTTTTAATCCTAATGCATATCTACATAAGTATGTAGGTGCATATGTATGTACATATGTGCGCGAATAGTCATTCCACCCTCTTTGCTTTGTTTTTTGCGTGTTTGTTGTAATTAATGACTTGTTGTTGTGCGCGTCACTGTGTCGCTTCCGCGCTAATTACACGAAAAAATATTAGTTTGCTATGAAAGAAGGGTTGCAAATCGATGCTAAAAAATTACCGAGGGTAAGCTTAGAGAGTCGCGTGGCAGCCAGGGTGATGTTGCCGGTGTCAGTAAAAGCATAGATGACAAATGCACTTTTCACACACATGGGACGATACATACATTGCATATGTATGTGTGCATGTATGTATGTATGTAGATATTTGCTTTTTCGAAACAATTAGAAAATAAAAAATGTTCGAACAAAATCAATTTATGACCGAAAGAATACGCTAATGCCCAGTGACAGGATGAAAAAAGTATTGATTTCAATTGAACAAAAAACAACAAAAAATTAATGGACTTAAAATATTTTACTGCGGCAAAACTGTGCTAGATGTATGTTCGGAACTTGCTTCTTTTTTTGGCAATAGGTTTTTTTAAAGGGATGTGTTTAGTAGAGTGCAATGAACTGAGGTTAGAAAGGGTATTTTTCGTTCACCTTACATTAATACAGAAAGAATAATACCTTTTGATAACAGAACTAGATTTCCACTATATTGTTTCTGTACTGGCACAAAGCGTGTCAGGTGGCTGGAATCAGCAGTGATAATCTGAAAAGCAGAAAGAGGTTACTATTGCCGATGGGTGGTCTGAAATCAACAGCGCCGTTGTGGCAAAAGCTGAGAAATGCTTCATACTCGTTTTATAAAAACAAAAGGTGTACTCATTAATGCTTAAGGCAGACAGAAATCTGCCGGAAATGCGCTTTTTAGAATTATGTACTATTATAGCAGATTTCTTTATTATTTTATTTATGCGCTAATCTGGAGCATTTACATATGCATACTAGCAGTATCAAAATCAAGAGCTAGCTTAGTCATCTCGGCTTTCGACCAGTATACGGATCTTCAATGCTTCAGATAATTTCTCACGTAGCTAAGTGGGGTCACTTGCTGGTGAACATGTTAGTTAAATTTAGATGCGGTCTCGAAACGGTCTCACACGTTGTTATGTAAAGGAGTGGGTTTATTTAGACCTGCCCCTATATATATTAAACCATCCTATTTGTCTGGCGAATCCTAGTATCTCCTCCTATTTACTTTCCCCTAAAATGTCTAAGTTCTCGAAGAAGTTGTTCCCATACAATAAATGGCGGATGGATTATTTCCCCATTTTTTGAGAAATATCTGCAGATTTTACCGAAATCGTTATCCGGGCTCCGAACCTGGCGGCCTTTCGGCCAATGGTATAGCGCTCTTCGCTAGAGGAATGATCTGAATCTCACTGTCTCCCGGGAACTAGAAGAGATTGACTATATGATGCTGTAAAGATTGGTGATAAAGAAGGTTGGTGGTGAAGAGTTATGCTGTAGTAATTAGAGAGTATATCTTCTTCAGACGCCGATTGCAAAGGCCTAGTGAAGCCAATGCCTTCTCCACCTGGTCTTTCCAACGCATAGAAAGCCTTCCGCTTCTTCTGTTCCAGCATTACGCGTGGAACACTTTCAAAGCTGAAACGTTTCTGTCCATTCGTACGATATGGCCCAGCCAGTTGAGAGGCTAATATGGTAGACAGACGGAGAAAATTAATTTGAATTAATAAGCATAAATTCAAATTAAAATTTTACCCTTACACCTTATCGAACCTGGCAGCTACAGGCTTGTAGCTCGAAACTCTCACCACTCGGCTACCGCGTACGCGAAACTCGACTGCTTCGTTTGCTTACTTGTACAAAAGACAACAACTGGCCGTTTTTACCAGTGTTGTCATCGAAAATTCCCCGGATCCGAGTTAATTCCCAAAAATTTCGTGCATTTGTTCGGCTGCTTATGCTCATTTTAAAGAGGAAAATGCATGAGTTAAAGCAAATTAAGGCTGGTTATGCAAATAATCGAGCCCGTTTGTCTACCGTATAAGTGGCGGTACTATGTCTATAAGGCGAGAGAGGGTCTGTAGGTCTCCCTAAAAGCAGTTTCTGAGTAAGTTCACACGATCCTTTCTCGATGTCGATCTTTGAAGATGGATAGCACGTTAGCGCCGAAAACGATATTGAGTTGCCAGTTTCTTCTGTCGAAAAAATGGATTTCAAAGTTGGAGTACTGATAATCGTAACTTATATACTTTGTCTCGACTCGGTCTATAATGTTAGCGCAACTCTTGCCAGTTGTTCACAGCTTGCTAGTCTACCTACCTACCACTATGGTCTTGGCTAAGGAGAAGACTGGGACTGGAAATTGTCATTATCCAGGATGTCGTTGTTGGAAATCGTTATTCGGAGCATGTCCAATACGAAAACGTCTGCAAGAATCTGATAGCACACATTGACTTCCCCGACGATTTTATCGATTGGAATTCCAGGAGAATGGACATGGATAAGATAGTTTAATGTTTCAAGACTGTGGACCTTTTCCTGGATTTTATAGGAATTTACTCCTGTTGTCCAAGTACTTTTTTATAGTACATCTTAAAAAAATTTATTTGGACTGTACCAACAGTGTCCGAGGATCTTGTCTCAACCGGTAGTAAAATTTTCCATTTGTCTTTTTCTTGAATAGGCTCTTTCTTTTTTAAAACAAAGAAGAAATAAAGCGCCCTCATTAACAGATGAGGAGCTACAGTTATGTGAAAATTAATAGGGGCATGACATTTTGACAATTTTTGGCTATTTTTTCATTTGCTGACGGTTTCCAGCATTTTCTTCCATACAAAGTGTATTCGACCATTTTTGTATGGAAGAAAATAATAACACTATCCGCCAAAAAAATTATCAAAAATCAACGCGTATTTTTAGGAAATTGAAACTTGCACTTTTTTAACTACAGTTTAATGGGCTCTAAAACTGCATACTTTCACTTGTTATAGAAAATTTTGTTGTTAGCTACTTGTAACTTGCACTTCCTAAAGGTAGAATTTAATGGACTATAAAACTGCCTACTTAGAACTTTAGAAAATCTTAATTAAGAGTTTGTTGTTGTTGTAAAATTTTGTTGAATTTTTCAAATTTTAGTACAAAGTTTGAACTTTGGACTTATGTGGTTTTTGTTAGACAAAGAGCTGTATTTTTATAAAAAAGAAACAAAACATTAAACAAACAATGGAAAAATAGCCAAAACTAGCCAACAACTCTTTGTCCTCTCTCGGAAAAACGGGTTGCAACTGGAGACGACGTTGGAGGTTTTCGGCATCTTGAAAACTATCTTATCTTCCCTCGTAGCTTTTACGCCCTATATCAAGCATTGTTGATTTATTATTGATTTAATTGTCTTCATTAACCGATTTTTCAATTTGTGTTCCAAGCCCATCACTTCAGTTGAAATGTCACTCACTGTCACCGACGCTATCAACAAAAGCATTAAATCGAGCATTATCTTCTAAAATGATTTTCGTGCTAATACAGTGCAAACACACCGCCA